TCTGGTCATTAAGAATAAATGTTCCTGCTATGGTCTGGTATGAAATATCACCTGTTAAAAATCAGAGTATCATAGGACAACACAGTTGCTACATCCACACTTCCAATGCCTTTATCTTCACCTGAATCAGTTCATGGCTGATGGATGTACTGCTGTACGAAGAAAGCTCAGATGAACTATTTGGGAAATTTGGCATTGAGAACAAGTACTGAACAACTGGTTCATTTCCAGAGTTTGGTCCAGTGATGTTAACTCCGTGTGCTTATTAATGTGGCTATTTGCTATTTTATTTACTTGTTGATTGCAAGTGTGAGCCTGCTTCTTCTAACTATGTAACAGAAATTGAACACAAGGTATAATGGACAACGAGTGACACCATCAGAGCAAGAAGGGCCAGAGCAATGGTTAACATTTTTGTATTTCTGTACTACACATATCCTTGATGAAGCAACAGTGATGTGAAAAGTTCAAAGAGAATTTCTGAGGCTCTGGTCCTTGCCCACACCCATGAAGTTTTTTAAACACTTGCCAACAGAAACTTCTGCACACGCACATGACGGATGCATACTACTGGATTGTAATCAGGCCCTTGCATATTTTTGAGTATGCTTAAACCTGACACAAAATCCTTCTCAGAAAAATAAAAAGCAACCTGGTTCTGTGTATTGCTGTTGAGGAGATACTCTGTGCACTGTTCTTAAGGTCAGCAAGAGCAGCTCTCCTCTGACCAGAAAGGCTTTCCTAGGGCACAGTTTTTCTTACCCTACAACTTATATCTAAAACACATATGACTCATCCTGAAAATGTTTATTTCTCTCCGTGGGCAATATAGCAACCACAGATGGCTGGTTCAGCCACAGACCACTATGATCTGAATAGCTAAACAGGAGGCAGTAAATCAGCTTCAGGCTCAGCTGTGCTGCTAGAAAGCATTTGGTGATTAAGCATAGAAATTTAACTCAGATTTGCAAAATGGCAACTGTTAATAAAGAAAAGTAAAGATAATATAATGGAGTAACATAATTCGGTGTTGTTGCAATCTGGACTGTGTTAGATGCTTTGACAACACAAGTAACGGGCCCAGGAGACAGGTAGCTCATCTCCTTATCACATGCCATAACTTGCTTGCTCTGCTACTAAAGCTACAAACTTCTGCTATTGTCACTAGCACTGCCTCACTGTGCCATCTCTCAGAGCAGGGCTAGAAAATCTGTGCTTGAGGTTGTTGGTGATGGTGCATCCCGGTTACATCACTTATGGATGGAAATAGTTTCCATCTCTCTTTTCTGCTTGCCTTTTCTAACAGATGATGATGATAATGATGATGATGATAATAGTAATTCTGTTATATGATTTAATTCCTCTGACTCTTTCTGCCTGTACAGTTTCTCCTGTCTCCTGTTGCAACCTTCTAAAACCAGGAAGGCAATATTTCAGAATGGATGCATTTTGTGATGTGATTAGAGACCATCTGGCTTTAACTGAAGAGCTAAACATGGGCGAGATTGTGATTGAGGTGCTTAGGCAGAGTCCCAAGTCCGTATACCCTGATAATACCATGGTGTCATTAGTTGTAAAATAGTGAAAGCAAACCTCGTCCTATGCGGAAGACATAGTATCTGTTATGGACATACCATGTTTAAAATACATTATGAATTTCTAGCTGGGTTGAGGTAAACACTGAAAGAGAGTTTTGGTAGCTAACTGAATTCCTTTTTTTTACACTGTATGGGAAGTCTACATCTGGCATAAGAATTCAAACAGAAAGTTGTGAAACCACAGCAGTTGTTTCACTAGGACTAGACCAAAAAAAAAAAAAAAAGAAAAAAAGAAAAAGAAGAAGAGAAGAACCCCCAAACTTGGAGAACTTACTTCATGACTTGTGATTCAACTGTGGAATATGCTGTGCCACACAACTACAGATACACAAACAGTGTTAATACATGAGCTTGCATTTCTGTTGTGAGGTAAGATAGGTATTTTGCTCCTAGTTAGATATTCTGCAATTTTTAAATTCATTTAATGGGACACAGAAAAAAGAGCTGCTGTGGTACTAAAACATTTCTGTACACACTAGTGTGGACCCAGTTAAAAAGGTAGCACTCATACATACCAGATACATAGGGACATCCATTATTTATACTGTAACATCAGGTTAGTAAACTTGTGTAAGACAAAGTCATGGAGCACACACAGCTGTGTTTTCATTAGAGAAGTGTGTTTCACTGAAGAGGAGATCACAAACTTATTTCTGTTATTAAAGAACAGGTTTCTCTAAATTGCTGTAAAAACCACAGAGCCAAAAACTTTGTAAATTTAAGTGCTGTGTAAGAAAGGTTTGTTTCTACTGGCAAGTAAATGTTCAAGTCACAGCTACTGCAACTAATGGAAAAACCAAAAATAAACTGGAAATGATGGTGGGAAGCTGCCTGATGATATGAATTGTCAAAAACTTAAGAATGTTGAAAAAGAGATATCATCTATTTTCATATTCTTAAAATGACTGTAACTAACCCTGTGAGCAACTCCCCAAACTTTTCCAGCTGTGCCCATAGTTTTCACTATGCTGCAACAAATCACACAGCAACAAGGCCAAAAGCTGAAGAAATAATCGGCAATTCCAAATAACATTCTACTTATGAGAGGTAAAATAACCTGGCAAACTCCCCTAGAAAATTCAAATATAAAAGCTTTGTAAATGCTAACTTGTGGTTTTGGGGTGGTATCCCATGCCTTTAGGAAAATCAAATTTCAATCAAGTGAGATTTATGAAAACAGAGAATCTAAACTTACTGGTTTTCCACTGTGCAGAGGAGGCTGCAACTGATGTATTTTTTAGTACAATATTCCATTCAACACCAAAGTTACTGGACCAGACAGTGACAATTTCCATGCCGAGAACTAAAGAGTGTGTTGCTATTTATAACACCTGTTTAGCACAGCACTGAAATTAGGGGCCCACATTGCCTTAGACTGTACTAGAAGCATTTAGAGATCAGACATGCATTTTCTGCACATTGTTTGGAAAAGTTAAAACTTCAGTGACTTTGTCTTCATGACTGTTCTAACCTGGTGTAGCTAAACTGAGATAAAAATATGACAGCTTTAATTTTTTCTATTTTGGAAATGTGTATTTGCATTTCTCACATCTTCTGTGACTCATCTGGGTCTTGAGTGAGGCCTTAAAGGTGTGGTACAGTGGCACAGTAAATGCAGCATTATGGGTATGAGCAGCACTAAAGAAAGCACTGCAGCCATGAGATGCTGATTCAGAGTTTACATTGCCACTTCAAACCTGTTAAAGAAGCAAAATGCACAACCTGACAGATTTAACACATGCACAGATAATGTGTGTATGACAGCATTTGTTTTCCAGCATAAAAACCAGATGGGCTGCTCTCTGTGTCTTGTTTTCTGGCCAAGACATCCCTGCTTCTGATCTGGATGGAGCCAGCACTCAGATGAGCTGGTGGTGCCCTCAGCCAGTGTTAATGACACTACAGCTACAGCCTTGCTGGCAACAGCTCAGTTTTACAGAATTAATGGCTGCAAATATTTAAACTTACTTTCTTATGCCAGAGGAACTGAATTTCATGTAGTGGCCGGCAGCTGAGGCTGATGGCTGCTCTTGGCTCATGCCAGCAATTGCAGGGGTACTCGGAAGCTGCTCTTATTGCCCTGAGGAGGAGGAACCAGTGTTGCTAACAAAGAGGAAAATGAACTGCTGCTGGTGGGTGCACTTGAGAATGAAACCATCCAGAGTTATCTTTTTAACCTTTTTGCATACTTATAGCCAGACAACACCATGCATAAATTACAAGATAAGTCAACTTGATCCTCCATCTTGGATTCACATTTATACTTGAAATTCAAACTTAAAAATATTAACCCCCCAAATTTGGATTCTTCACTAGAATAAAATGCTAAATTCCCTACAATGTCCAGATGTGCTCTTCTTGAAGAGGGTGGTATGAAGCCTGGTACAGCGCACTGTGAGATCAATATATTTATACACATGTATATGTACATATATCTGTGTGTCTATATGTGTATGTATGCATATATGTACATGTGAATATATCTTTATTTATACTTAACTTCATGTTACTGCTGCTACTGCATTTAAAACTTTGGTTAAAAATAAGTTTATAAACACATAATATAATAATAGAGTAACCCATCCACTTGTTCCACTGTCAGCAAACAGTACAGAATTATAGAACACCAAAGTGAAGAGCAAGCTTTAGTCTGAAACCTGCCACACTAGCACTGATAAGGTGGTTTTGCAAAAAAACTCCTGTTTTGCTGTATATCATAACCTGCTGATTAAATCATTTAACCCCCTAGGATTATTCAGGAGTGCTGTAGAAGAATACTGGCTTAGAAGGAGAATCAGAACTGGATAAAACAGATTGAAAACCTTTCCATATATTGCAGCTGACGCTGAGATCCGAGCACAAAGAAGCAAACTGAGAAACCTTGCCAAATAAAACAGAAAGCATTTGCAAAAACACAAGGGTGGCTCTTTACAGCAAGAATCTATGGGATTATTAAGTATTGTCACAGTCACTGAACAACCAACACCCTTTGGCTCAGGTTACTCTCCTTACTGGACCTGGCCAAATGAAGCAGAAGCCAGCTTTGAGAAAGGCAAATCAGAGAATAATTTACAGGAAAGAAGGGATTTATTCTGTTTTAAGAAAGGACTAAGATCTAATTAACAGGTATCTGTTAATACAACACTTGAAAGTAATTATAAGTTCATAGATGTTTTTATATATATATACACACATACATACATATATATATATATACACTACCCTATGTAAAATACTCAGAATTGTGCTCTTATATATATGACATAGACGATAATCTAATGAAAAATTTAACAACCTTTCCTTAACCTTTCTTTATGGAAGTGATGATAAGGTTACTGCATTATTTTGTGAGTACTTGCATCCTCAGGGAAGGCTGTCCTTTATTTTATGTTCTTCTTTATGTCCTAGGAACTGCAAGGCAAAAAAAGCATCCTTTTACAAGAGCTTTTACTTAGACATTTCACTGTTGCCCTTTGGGTAAGTCTTCTTCAAAATAACTAGCATGAGTATGTTTTTGACTGTAACTTTGTTCATGTTGAGGAATACAGAAGGGGAGGGGGGGTGTCAGTGCACAGGATTTTGTAGTAGCGATGTGTTAAAACTCAATATACTTAAAATACATGGACCAATTTCTAAATAACAGTAGCCAGTAGTTTGAGAATAATGGACTAATATAAAGGTTTGATTTTTTTTTCCTCTGCCATAAAACCACTGGGGAGTCCAAGTATCAAAGAATCACAGAATATGCCAAGTTGGAAGGGACCCACAAGGATCATTGAGTCCAACCCTTAGCCCTGCACAGGACCATCCCCTAGAGTCACACTATGTGCCTGAGAGTATTGTCTAAATGCCTTTTGAACTCTGTCAGGCTTGGTGCTGTGACCACTTCCCTTGGGAGCCTGTTCTAGTGCCCAGCCACCTTTGGGTGAAGAACCTTTTTCTATTATCCAAACTAAACCTCCCCTGACACAATTTCAGGCCATTCCCTCAGATCCTGTCACTGGTCATCACAGAGAAGAGATCAGTGCCTGCCCCTCCTTTTCCCCTCACAAGGAAGTTATGACTGCAATGAGGTCTCCCCTCAGTCTCCTCCAAGCTAAACAGACCAAGTGATCTCAGTCGCTCCTCATCTGGCTTCCCCTCAAGGCCCTTCACCATCTTTGTTGCCCTTCTTTGGACACTCTCTGATAACTTAGTGTCTTTCCTATATTGTAGTGCCCAAAACTGCCACAATATTCAAGGTGAGGCTGCACTAGTGGCAGAGCGAGACAATCCCCTCCCTCAGCTGGGTGGCGATGCTTTGCCTGATGCCCTCCAGGACACAGTTGGCTGCCAGGGCACTGCTGACTCATATTCAACTTGCCGTTGACCAGGACCTCCGGGTCCCTTTCCGTGGCACTGCTTTCTAGCATCTCATTCCCCAGCCTGTACAAACATCTGGGGTTGCCCCATCCCAAGTGCAGAATCCGCATTTGCCCTTATTGATGGCCCAGAAGACAAAGAACTTATTGCTCCTCAGAGCTGTTTCTATGTCACGCTTGCAGAAGTCTATTTCATTGTTCATCATCTAAATAAAACTTACATGTGTAAATTATTTAAATATACTCCAAAGGCTCTGATATATTGTGAAAAAGGCTGTCTAAAGTGGGAAATACAGGTTATTTTATATGTCACTTTGAAAACAACAAAAAATTAATTCCGTCAGTGTTCATAAGATCTGAAAATTATTCAATAAGCCAAAAATTTCCATGTATTGCAACTAAAAGCATTGGTTTAATCATAGAACCATAGAACAGCACTGGTTGGAAGGCACCTCACCTGGTCCAACTTTCTGGTGCTTCATTTAGCACCATGTCTAGTCACATCTGGAAGACCTCCAGTTGTGCACACCCCACCGCATCCCTGGGGATGTTGTTCCAGTGACTGATTGTTCTCACTGTAAAAAATGTCTTTCTTATATTGAGATGAAATGCGTACACTTTTTTCCATTTAGCATTGTGTGTATAAAGTCCATTAAAATTACGAAAGGTTTTGGACAATGGATGTTTTCTCGATTTTCAAATTTTCAAAATTTGCTTTAAATACCATATTGGTCATACACAGTTGGTCTTACATAATGCAAATAATAATGTTATGCAAATGCATAATGTTGGTAGCATTGAATTTGGAGAAGGTTATAGCTTCAAATATAATTAAAAGCTTCAGCTTCATGGTATTAATTAGCAAAAGTTGATGTACTACTTAATGCCAAAAGTGTATCCTTTTGACTGTAGTGTGGTAACTTGAGACAAACAAACCTGCTAGGGCTTGGAAACATTCTTCTCAGAGAGTTTTTTTTTTTGTTTATGAGCTAAGAGTCTCTTTTGCAATGGGCTCTGCAAAGGTTTGCAGCCCAGAGAGGACTGGGAGAGAGCACAAAACAAGCAATGCACAAATATGTACATGGAAGGCAGAATGCCTTAGCAGTGGCAGATGCAGCCACTGCTAGGAGGTGAAGGAGTTATCTACAGTTGTCACCTTCATTTGTACTCCACATGGAGCAGCTGGAGCTACTGGTCTGACTGCATAAAATAATGGCCCATCTTCGTGAACGAAGATTTGGGGAAAGGTCTTTTACCTTTCCAGCCTGCGCAATGGATTTTTTTTTTAGGTGAGACACAGCCTGTGCTGAACTGAGCCCACCCTTTAATCCTAAGGTTCATCTGCCGGGGCCAAGCAAGCTTGGACAATGGCAGTGAGGTCCTCAGGACGTAGGTTTGTTTAGAGTGACCTTCTCATAGATGGATGGCCTCACAGGCCTAACGGACTCCATCTGCCCGGGGGACTGGCTGGATTCGAACCTGGGTCGCAGAGGTGAGAGCCCTGCACGCTAACCACTAGGCCACCAGGGGTCCCCACTGCATAAAAGCACCAGTTCAAAGAACTTGCAAGAAGTTGCTATCAGGTCTAGCATAACCCTGGCAGATAAATCTTTTTTCCCCTCAATGCTACTTTTTGCTTTTTGGGATTCATTTGACTAGAGGGTCACCTTACAGTTCAGACTTCAGATATGAAACACCTAGGCCACAATCTTACAAAACACTCACATGTTTTTATTTACCCACATAAATGCTTCCAGGGCCTCCTAGGAATAGAGATGGTGAGGAAAAATTTTGAAATATTGTTTGTTATGTGGAAAAGCTGAAAAAAAAAGTGTCAGAAACAGATGTATAAATAGCACTTTACCTTTGAATTGAGAAACATATGTGCAAATCTCCAAGTTATGACACTGGCTAAAGTAGCATAAAATTAGAGCATGAGAGAAGAGTGAGGCTATGCAGTGACACTGTAGTTCTAAGTGCTGATCTCATGCCCTCTCACAGAACTGCCTCTCACCTTCTCTGAAATGTCCTGCTGGACTCAAAACTCAGCCAGAAGTCTCTTGCTTTTGCTTGCTCTGGTATTTGCCCCTGTGGCTGATCCTTTCCTCAGAGCGTACAGACAGGCACCACTGGCACCTCCACTTCCCTGCCACCCTGCTGAGAAGAGCCAAACTAAGAAAACTGAAAGAGAACTGAAGCATCTCTCTGGAGCCAGTTATTGCCATTAACTCTGGTTCTCAGCAGAGAGGCAAATAATGTTTGGCAAACATTTCATCTGGGTCCTGTTATAAAAGAAACAAACAGGCTTGTGCTGCTTTGAAGTGCCCTTGTGCTGTCCCCATTCCTTCTTAAGTGAACCCAGATTTCCACACAGATGGTGACAGAAAATCATTAGCACTTTTATGGAAAACTCCCCTGAAACCTGTATCAAATTTGTCCCTGTTAGGTTCTCATTTCTAACTTGCAAGTAAGACGGTGCTTGGTTTCTTCCATCTTTTATTCCAGTTCAATTGAATTAGAAACTTGTAAGTAAGTTTCTTCATTCCTTTGAGGTAGTCCAAGGTCTTGAGAAAACCTTGAAAATACTTTTGTTCATCCAGCAAAAAGAACCTAAGCCCTGTACACTTTGGATGCTTGGCTTCTGTTTAAGAATTTAGGATTCTATGAAATCTCATTGATTCTGTACATATTTAACACAACTCCTCAAAATCTTCACTGTTTTTTAGCAAGTACTGGACACTCACATATGAACTAAAGAATCTCTGGGCTTAAAGTCTGCACTGTTCTGGATTCTTCATACAAATTGAGGCAACTTTTTTGGTATTATTTTTTATTGAAGAAAATTTTCACAGGTGTATAAAAATAAATTCACTCTATGTTCTTTTCCACAAAGGGTATGTTTTTAAACTCTTAACTAAGTTTTTCAGTATGGTGCATATATATATATATGTGTATATATTTTCTTAAAACAGTTATAATTCCTTTCATTTTAGTAGCCATTAGATTTGCTTTAGCTGAATGCTAAGCAAGCTAAGAGGCTACATGTTGAAGAGATACTTGCTAATGATTTGGAAAAAATAAGGAATTCAATAAACCATCTGAATTGTTTGCAGTTTCTGTGGAGATCATCTGTACCATTTCGGTTCAAAAAGCTTTTCAAAAACATTCATTATATTCCTGTGTCCAAGTCTGAAGAATCCACAGAAGAAATTTCAGAAACAGATGGATTATCAACGTTTAACAGGTTTTTTGTTTCAAGACTTGGATGATTATGTGCATGAGTCTTCCTCAAGTTATTTGGCAAAAACACTTTCAAAGATTATGATCATTTGTAATCATCTACCAAAAGGACTCGGAAACTATATATGTAGTACAACTGCACTTGAAATAAAAGTGCTCTTCACTCATTAAGAGAAAACAAACAACATAGATATACTTAGAAAAGAAACTGATGGAGTTTCCAAAGAAACTCCCTCTGTTGCCTTGCAAGTGCGGACATCTAGTAACTTGTTTTACTGTGAAGAAGGTTGAGATTTGAAGTTTAGGTACAAATGAGGCAGTATTTCTGTCCTTTACATTTGTGCATATTTCCAGTTGTAGGTGAGAGAAGTCTTTCTAATCAAAACTGAGGATGACTGTACCCAAGAAGGTCCCATAGAAACATCTACATTCTTCTTCAATAGTTAATCGTGTCTGGAACTCACTGCATAAACTTACATGCACATGGCACGGATTTGTTAAAAAACCTGCACCCTTGAAACTCCCTTGAAATCTATTTGGAAATGTTATCTGTGTGAGTCACAAGTGTACATAACTGCAGTTAGTTTTAAGTGCTGAGCTGAGAGAGAAAGGAAAATATACGCTGCGTTGCCAAATTCTACAGAACGACTTGCATTCTACACAAGGACACATGACAAAGTGTTTATTAAAATAAAAAGCTTTAATACTTTTGCATTTAAAAGATTTAGCAGAAATAATTGCTACAAACATGCTACAACATACATGTTCAAAAAGTTTTCAGTGCTTTCTTTCAAAGTTCAGCATTTTGGCAAAAATAAGTTTTTCTGTATATACTTCAGAAGTTGGCTATCATAATACTGATATAAAATACTTCATGTAGACTAAGGTCAGGTGCATAAAATACAATACGTAATAAAACATACTGTTTGTATAAACATTTAAAGTATAAATTTCATTAGATAACATGCAAATACTGCAATATTTTAAATGGCACTTAAATATAGATACTGAGATTCTTTATAATTTTGCATACAATATGAGATTCTGAAATGTACAAAACTATAAAAAGAACATATCTCTTCACTGAAGTCAGGTACTAGCATAGAGCTTGATTGTCATTTTACAAGCAGTGAGCCCAATGTCTTGCAAGCCTTCACTAGTCCAAGTAAAGACATCTACTGAAATAGGCCCAGGGCTAGTTAGTTTCCTTCATAATAAAATATGAAAGCATATTTACATGAGAATAAACTCTTAATTTTTTGGTAAGGTAATTAAGTAGCAGCAATCTGTTTCTTCCAAAAATGATGTTTAAAATAGGTGTATGCTTTTTGTTGTCACTGATGTGCATCTGAATAATACAAAATTAACATTCTTTAGTAAACTCAAAACACTGTTTTGTTCATTGCTGAAAAAGCCCTATGAGATGCCTTCTCACAAAAACCATAAATCCATAATGTCAGAACGTTCCAGACTATATTTGTTTCCAAGATCAATGGAAAACAATCTAATTGTGCTGAAACAGTCATCTGACTAGTAATGAATAAGAGAATCATCTTTTCACATTATTCAAATACTTCTAGTTCTTCATTGAAAAACACAAGTTCATCAGATCTTCTATGATTTTTGTTTTCTGGTTCAGTGATCAACAATTCTGAATGTCCTTCACAATATAAACGCCACAATACTCATGCATATTTTCCAAGCAGTTATATATAATATATTAATGCTGACAAGGTAAATAAAAGGCTTAGGAACAGGGAGTGCAGAACAGGCACCACTTGAACAGATGGAGAAGAAATGCTAAACGAAACTTGTACTTGAGATGCAATTAGAGCTGACAGCGGCACGTGTGATGCTAATGTTGGACTGTCTGAATTTATCAGTGACTCTATCTTTTCTGCTTCTTTATTGCAGGCTTCAATCTGTGGGGAAAAAAAAAGTTGCTATTTCTCTTCTTACCATGTAAAATGCCAGTGCAAAAATGTTGCTAGATAGCAAAATTCAGGAAAGAAAATCTGAGTTATTCCCATCAGCACATAAGATTTACATTATTTTGGGGAGTATTTATTAGAAAACATAGCAGAGCTCTTATCATAGTCCTTGGTGCGATGAAAACTTCTGTGGAAGCCCTGAGTAGCAGCAAAAGAAAAGAAACAAAGCCATATACAAGTTATCGTGGGTGATGTGTTTTGAATGTTGATGCTAAAAAACTCACAGTAAATTATAACTAAGGTAAGTACCCTCTAAAACTGGAGACTTCCGTCCTGATAGACCAAGTTACTGCCTTGAAGTCTGCAACAGTGGAAAAGTCAAGATTTTCTCCTTATTAGGCTTTTTCTTCCAAACCAGGGAAAACTGATATCTTTCATGGGAAGGGAAGAGAAGAATGGAAGTACTATGAAAACCTGAGAAACCCCAGGTTTCCATTCCCGCACTGACATGATGATAATGAATTTTCTAACATAAATTCATTTTTTTCCCACTACTTTCTACTGCACCCCAGGAATTAATTTAGTACTAAGGCTCTTTAACAGCTTTGGAAGCCTCCTCTGGTGAAGTTTAAACTTGACAAACTTAGTGTCTGGAAGTCCAAAGGTTTGAAAGTTGAGGAATGTCTAGCTCAGCAATGGGTACCACCAGTGAAATGAGCAGCTCCTCCCTGCTTTTGGGTGGCATCTCTGATTTCAGAGTCCTCACCCCAGGAATCTGACAGCACCTGCTACAGTTGGAGTGAGAGCTGTCCATGTTGGAAAGTTCTGGTAAAATTTTGGGCTATTTCTGCTAAAGGAGGAGACAGATATTGTAGTTGAGTTGGATATAACAGGGTTGCTCGGGTAACATGGGCAATCAAAATACACACAATGTATCTTCCTGAGAAACAAGCACCATTGTATATGTGCAAAAATGAAGTAAATCCATGCTGAGTAAGCAAAATAATAATGTAGTCTACCTGCAATGGTTTGGGGTTCTGATCGACAGGAATGATGAGAATCACAATTTCGGATTCTATGCTTAAATATCCAAACACATCACACTGTGGCACTGACACATGCAGGCGGATTTTTTCAAGAATGTCAAGTACTGTTATCGGCTTTTTATTTGTCACCTGGAAGAAAATAAAGAACTTTGTGGATGATGCGATATTATGGAAAATTCTCCTCCTCAGTTTCAACAACTTGATGTCATGCCAGAAAATTTGTTTCAGCCATTAAACTCAGTTCTAAAATCTACCCTAAATGCTACCAAAAAGCAAAACAATTCAATGATTCTAAAATATAATTCTAGAAAATTATTCTGATTCTAAAAAAAACCCCAAAACCAAACCACCTGAAAACATTAAAAAAAAAAAGTTGAAAGGAAGAAAGGGGAAAAATATTTATTTCTTAAATTAACCATGGTTTTGGTATGTGTTGTTCTCCATCTTCACGGTTAGTGTGTCTATGTATCATGTACCTCAAAATAATGTAAATGGTTATCTGTTACAGCAATTTGTGTTCCCGTGCTGGGAAACGAGGCAGAGCAGCCCTAGCAGCTGGAACTGCTTTACAGCCTCAGAACCTGTTCCAAGAGTCATCAGCAATGGAGAGCTTTGTGAGGACAGATATATGTCTGTACATATGGGAACCTGTGACATTTTAAGTTCAGTACTTAACTACCAGGTAAATATATTTTTCTCTTAAAATTTTTTTCTCTGTTCTGTTGTCTGTATCTGCCAAACAATAATTTGGTTGTAGATGCTCAGTCTAGGGACTGCTACACCTTAAAGGTTTTTCAGCTTTTTTCCAGATCACTTATGAATGTGTTTTACAGATGTGTATATAGACACCAACACAAACACTTCTCTTGTCACTGGTCATTCTGTTGTGTTTTGCTTTCTAGCTTTAGCTGCAAGAACTCAATCCTTCTTATCCTACTGTAGCTTTCTTTCTTTTGAGATCACTGGTACAGGACCTTAACAAGTGGAAATCTGGGAAATCCAAGTAGATTATATGAATCAAATTTTTAAGGTGTCATACAACACTTCTTTTACCAGATCTTTGAGGGATTTCCTTGTCCATTAAAATCCTGTCTGACATGCTGATTAATCAGCAAACCTTGTTCAAACAGTCTTAAAACAGAAGCTCAGGGGTACTTTAAGAGTGACTGATGGTGTCAAACTTGTATTTTACTGTCTTAGTTTAGAAGTCTAGTAGATTAGAATTTTAGTAGATCTCTAATGTTTCTTTGCTCTGTGATCATGACTTTTGTTTCTTGATATCTTTACAAAAAAACAGCCAGAGGGGTGGGGGAAGGAAAAAAATAGTCAAATTTATATAACTCTTTAGTATTTGAAGCATTTTTTTCTCCCATGAACCAGATGTCTGAACTAAAAGAGGCATGCATGACTACTTTTTCCAAAGGAAAGAGCTTCAGCCAAACTTATGTAATTTTTAGTCAGTGCTAAGATTCTCTTGACTCTTGAATGATTACTTGAATGTTTGAGAGATCACATATTTTAAATGTAAAGATACAGGTATACATTTTAAATATATGAGCTGTGAAAACTTGAAAAGTGTGTATGGTGGCAAGAGGTGAGCAAGAGAAAAGAGTCAGCAAGACTGTGGTGACAAAGGGAAGTAAAAAAGAGGGGGAAAAAGAAGAATGAAACCAATGTTCAAACTAAATTTTTCTGTGATTTTACAATAATAGCTAATTATCTCTGTTGCAAACATATAGGTGGGTTAATGCAATTCAATACTGTTCTGGAAAAATTCTCATTCTTCTTGGTATTTAAAAAAATGAAAATCATGTGCAGATACAAACAGGAATTGTTTTGCTTCACCAGGCATAATCATCATATTATTCTATTTTGTTATGATGTCGTGACACAAGTCAATTGTCCTGCTATGTTCTGTACACTGAAGCATAAAAGCAGGGGTCAATAAAGTGCAATCCTTTTATACACCACATGGGGAGTGTCTGGGTCCACTATGGTGTGTTCAGGGATAGACAATCAACATCAGATCAGTCTTGTGCTGAAGATTTTCTAAGAGCAGCAATAAAGAATGCTGGAGCCTAACTTATGGAGATATTTAATTAAAATCCAGCAGTTTAGCTGATGAGCAACAAAACGAGTGACAACTATCTAGGTAACCAAAGAATGTAAACAATCCCATTTAAACATAAGAAAATGTCAGAATTAAGTTACCTACATTAGGAAATAGTGAGCTAGCAGAATAAACTTAACAAAAAGGCCACAGATAACAAATATACACTGTATTACTACCGTGAGATAGATGCTGTTCCCGTATAATTTGTCCACACTATTACAAGATATATAAACTGCAAATCTGAGTCTGCATGTTTGTGCCTACTCTAATTCTGTTTTGGTTTGCATTGTAATTCAATTTATATGCCTCAGATAAAAAAATGAAGGGAAGTATAAAGCAGTATAAAGAAAAAAAACACCCAATCACACACTAACTACTGGAAAAAATGGGTTTTATGATGTGTTAACCTTCCAGGAGAAAGTATACAGTAACTTGAATTTTGTACCATTTAACATTAGGCATGATTAAACTGTTTACCCTTGCAAAATTATCCAGCTTGTCTTTGTCATATAAGATTCTCAGCATTCCAGCACATAGTGGACAGCAGGCTCCTGTGTGAATACAGAAGAATCTCAGAAATAAAAGCAATTAGCGTTTTCACTTTTAAGTAAGCAGGAGTCAAAATTTGAATATTAACTGAGAATGAAAATAGCAGAACTACCAAAGCAAAACAATTTGATAGCAGAATTGCACATTTCTAATATTTCTCATACTAAAAAAATTTATAATGCAAAAGCAGTCACCTTTCAACACACATTTACTACTATCAACATGAAGAAACAAGTTGAATTTTCATTCATTTCAAGATCATTCATTATTTTAAGCTAAAAACTGGAGGCACTTTGTGTATCACAAGCTAAGATTCTGTATGGATGCATGCATATGCAACTACAGAAATTATGGATTTCAAGAGCTGATATAGCTAAGAGATGACTGTGTATTAAATTCACTCCTCAACTTATTATATATAATTCACATTCACAGAGTGACTTTTACAACACTAAAAGTAATACCAAAGCACAAAGACTCTTTTTCAAAGGGAATGAGAAATGAGAAAGATGAATAAAGCTATTTCTTTTTAAAAATGATGCTTTCCTTGCTCTGTGTATTACCTATGAGTAGCTGTTGTTTTATAAAGAGGTATTTGTAAAAACAATAAAAATCCAGTTCAAAACAGCATAACTGCAAAACTATTCCTACTGTCTTCCTCTTTCACAATATTGTAAATACATGTGGTGTTTTTCTCTGCCTTCTAATTAAATACCATCTTTGCTCTTCTGGGAACCCTATGTTGATGACAGCTTGGTATCCCACTGTGTTATCTGCGCTGCCACTTCCGAAAAATTGCTCATCAGATTCCTAGAGACATCCTGCTCGAGACACCACAGACCTCATTCATTTCTCCCAAACCCATCCCCTGGGCAGAGCTGCAAGTTTCTCAAGACTGAAGGAGCTTGGCTCCTAAAGCCAAAGCTTTCCACTCCAGGGTTACTCATCTGGGTCCTGATATTGCTTGTTCTAGCCTTAAGTAGAGAGAGATCTCTACTTCATCCTTTCTCTTCGAAGTCTCAAAAACATTATGGAATATAACATTTTAAAGCATAAGTTTTGTTCCAAATATCCCCCTATTTATACACAGGTTCTCTCCTCTATGCATTAAACTTCCACAGCAAATTAACATACCTGGTGCAATGACTGGTTTGCAGCCAGTGGCAGAAAGCTGGGGACACTTCACAAAGGCACACTCCATATGGAAGCCATAGTCCGAGAGCACCCCCACAGCCTGGCAGTGTCCGTGATAGTCCACAGCCACGCGGTCCGAATAGGCAGCACAGACACTGCTGTAGGTTTCTCCATTGTGTCCACACACAGGCTCCACTGACTTGCAAAATGGCTGAAGCACACAGGAATGTTTCCAAGGTCAATTCAGTCATGCTACAGAAGCTTCAGAGTAGTTTTAACATGAGGAAAAACAAAGCTAAAGGGAATTCACTGCTAATATTGTCAAACATTGAAAAAGTAGGAAGTTGGGAGTAAATAACCTGCCAGTTTATGAATGGGTCATAAATGAAAAGGGTAAGTATGTAAAGAAGGTACAGAGAAATGTAAGGTGGCATCAGGGAAATGTACAATAAATCATGTTTTGGAAAACAACAACTTTTGTTCTCTGCTAACATTTAAATAAAATTGCCATATTTAAATTAACTTGCTTATTAAATTAATTAAAATTACTATAATTTCATTATATTTTAAAATTTTTTAAATAAAGTTCATTTGTTAAAAAATTTTCTACTGTAGTATTAATATCTTAACAACTCATTGGTAATTTATTTTTTAATTCATCTTAGTGTGGAGTTGTGTTCTTAAAATTTATTGTGCATGTGCATGTATTTCTAACACATTGTATATTTTTATATATTAGTTATTTGCACATTTTATTTATTTGTATGTATGTATTATTTATTATTATTATATAAAGATAAATGCATACACTTACTTCAAAAGAATAACATCTGTTACTAGACACTTTGTGAAATGGCAATAAACTTAAGCTTCTGAAGTTGAACAGAAGCAAATAGAATTGCTGAACCTCTGCAAACAAGGTATGATTAATGCTTTTGTCCAAAGTCTTGTGAAATGACACAACTCATTCCATAATCTCTTGCTTAGATTAGATATTTTGTTACACCATATTTCAACTAAGTCATCATAGCTGCAGGATCACTGTATAACCTCTAAAAAACTAAGGCAATCCCAGTTCCTATGTTACACACCTAAGCTAACAACAAAACAGAGAACAAGTAAATGTGAGCACCCCAAACAGTTTATCTTGCAATCATCTTCCCTATAAAAGCAAGAGTGAAAACTTAGAGGCACCAGTGTCAAAAACTTTGTGGATGTGCATACTAGACATAGATAACTGCTGGAGAAAAAACAACAGCCATGCAATATTCCTTTGATTCTTACTATTCAAGGACTGAACATTTTCTGAGTATTTCATGAGGTATCTGGTATGCAACAAGAATTACCTGTACTTAATGAGGTTGCTGAAAAAAGAAGGTATAAAGACGGAAGACAGAAACTAAGAGCAGGTTAAAAGAGTAATAGCACTTGTAATACAGAAAAACCCTGAAAAAATGTTTTGTACTTCTAAGCATACCCATCAGTTGAGACCAAGAGAAGGTCTCAAATAAATCTTCATGATTTGAGAAAAACCTGGAGATGAACAGCCTATCAATGGTAAAGCCAGTGACTTGGAACAGAGCAGCTCCTGACTTTTCTTGTAAAGCAACGGAAATAGCTTGTCTACCACCTTTGAAGGGAGCAGTGGGATGGAAAAACTAAACCCAATCCTAATCTTTCTCAAGAATTAATATGAAGACTAATCCAATGCAGACTAACTAAAAAAGTATTACAGGCTGCCGATTCTGTAAATAAATCCTGAACAGTGCTGGGGCAAAATCACACAAAAAGACAAAGACTTTCTATGACTGGGCATTAATATATATTTAAGACAACTTCAGATTGGTATAAACGAGCACTAGGAACTGCTCTAATTAATGGAAACATATCTCAGTGCAAGCTTTAGTAGCAAAAAATATAGGAAGACTTAATATAAATATCAGAGCATTACCCCCAAGAAAGCACAAGCAAACTTTTTGATTGGTTTTGAGACAACTGTTAACTAAAGCAGAGAAACACTTGACAACATTCTGAATCTAAGTTTGTGAGAGTACATTTTATACTAGCTACAATTAAATTTTTAAATGATTAAGCTACAAAACTCAAATAGAATACTGCAAAAAAACCAATATTGAAAAAAACCCCAAAACAACCCCAAACTGCAACATCAAAGGACAAAGAAGATTTGATATTTATTGCTACTTCCTACCTGGCATGGTCCTCGGTATGCTAAACTTTTTCCTTTTTGGTACAGAGTACACAAGTTACTGTATTCCACATTGTCTGTGTCACAAACAGGATCTCGTGTCTGGTCACAATTTAACTGCCTTGGCACACATTCATGTTGGCTACATTCAAACTTTTCAAAACTAGTCAAGCAAACTTGTTTCTTCGGTATGCACCTGCCAAAAATAATAGTAATTTCTTATCATGTCATAGGATTATTTATTTTTTTTTTAAGTCTCAAATATTCAGGGAAAATACTTTCAGTGAAATATCTCCAGTACCTTAGAGCTAACTGTGGTTCAGCAGAGCTGCAGGAAATACAAGTGATAAAACATCCTGAATAGCCAATTTCAGGTCTCATCACAAACCTGGAACAATTTCACACCACCTTTAGTCAATGTGTTCCCACCAACATTTATCTTTTACCACGTGTTTTTCAATGGATTCTTGATAAAGGCTTGGATAAACTTCTTACCTACTCCCATGCTTCATTTTGTAAATGAATATTTAAGAAAAACTAGAGGAAACAAGAAAACAGTGCAAGAGAAAAAGATTCTGTTGCAAGGTCTTGTCTCCCCTGACCCTGAGAAAGGAGTAAAAACAAGACCTACAAGAAGATTAAATGGTTTCAATTACAAATATCGAATTAGATGCTAGCTTTGTAGGTTCAGAGTATTGTATCACATCCAATCTTGGGAATGACTGCAAACAAAGGGGAAAACCCAGTATTAACACTTTTATTCCATGCCATTCCTCTGAAGCCTCCACAGACCAGTAAACAGCAGAAATTCTTTCCCTTTTGTATTAAGTATGTACCTTCCATGGTCTTATCTGCAAAAGATTTGCCATAGACCCTGCAAGACATTCCTCTGCTAGAGAAATGCCAGCCACTAAAGCCTGATGAACAGACTGATAAAAGCTCTAATGGCTTTTTTAAACAACCAGTTCCTTCTATAAGGGACAGCAATGCTGCTACCACTGGATTATGTACGATATGTCTTTATTCTCCCTGAGTGTTGCTGATCCTGTGCATTACACGTATGTCTTTTACATTAGGGAAGACTCAGAAATTCTGAGATTTAAACACTTCACAAGTGGATATAAGATCTTAAATAGATAATAAAATAGTAAAGCGCATCAGGAGCATTTTAAGATGACCATGTCTAGTTTATATTGTATTGTCCAACTGACCCAGAAAAATGTATTGTGCACAGTCCTTTACTTATACGACAAGTTGAAGTTCTAAGCATAATGGTATTTTGAAAAACAAAACTTTTCTGTATCCTCCAAATTTCAAATATAAAAAGTAAAGAGTGTTTATCCACAATGCAGCTTTGAAATTCCAATTTTGAATGCCATAATGGGTATTACAGCTACAAAACTACAGTGTTTTCTCAGTAGTTTTCTGCATCAAGGCATTTTAAGTGCAGAAAAAGGAAAAAAATAAAATTGCTACAATCAGCTTTCATGAAAGCACAGTATTGCACAACTTTTTATGACGGCTTTCCTTCAAAACGGAAAAATGCACAAATTCAAAGGAGACTGCAGTATTGCACAACACTGAGAAAATTGAAGACAGAGACCAATATTATGAGCCACAGCCTTTGATCTCTGTAAGAAAGGTCAGATTTTCTTTTTGCCTGAAACTAGTACAAAGCATATTTTTGTTTTAGTATATTTGTCTATGCAGATTTTGCTTTATTGACTGAATAAGCAAGACTGACTCCAAGTCTGGAATGCAGATGCAGGTCTTCTTTGCAAACTACTAAAAGAAGGTGTGAAAAATAGTAGTAATATGACATTTATTGCCATTCCAACAAAATCTGATTCTCCCACTTTTGACAGTATGTATCAAGTGTCTTTTATTGCTAAAAATGAGATCTGCAAAATGAATTTAATTGATATAGCACTACATAAGTGGAAAAAAAACCTGGCAGTTATTGCTATGATAAAAAAAGTAGCTACTTCAAAAGTTATTTTTATTGAAGTATCCCAAAAATACAATGTTCCTACAATATACAACACATTCAAAGAAAACATAAATCTACTTTTATGAGTAGAAGATTCCAAAGAAAAGCTTAAAAACATATTCTGCTTTTACCTTTGATTTTTATTACAAGGGTTAGGGTTACAAGGATCCTTGGAAATACACGATCCAAATTCAAACTGATTGTCCTGGAGCCCAACACAACGAGCTATACATGCGCTTGGGTACGTGCGTCCATTTTGACCACATACTGGCACAAACTGATCCACACAGTTACATGGCAAACCTGGAAAAGCAACACACAGAACAGGAACTTGGTGTACACTCGTTTGCTGTGACAGAAGATACACAAGGGGTCACTAAGGTATCTTTGCCTTCCAGCAAAGTGTCTTCAGCCCCTTCGTCCCTCCAGTCCTTTAGCAATGTTGTAGATCACAGGCACGCACAAGTAGCTGGAAGCAAAGTTTGGGCCCTGTCTCCTTGATGATTCCACTCAGCTTTCTCCATTTTTTCCCCCAAACTCCTTAACTCTTGACTCAGTGGATATACCCTGTCTCTATTTATTTTTACGTATTACTTGACATTTTATTTTTCAGTGTTGATTTTTTTTTTAAAGGTATGTGATTTTTCTGCAGTGTGTGTTGGACATGAGAAAAAAGTTAAAAAAGCATACTAATAATAAATTATCAGTATTACAGTATTTTACATTAATACTGTAAAAGGAATTAAGCTGGTAATCCTTGCTCTAAAAAATATTAAACTTATGGTTTTCATGGT